TTGCTGCTGTTGCTGCTGCTGCTGCTGCTGCTGCTGCTGCGGTCGCCACCGCACTTTGTTGGCTAGGCGCTGCCATGGTGGGAAAATTGCTCCAAGTTGGGGTGAGCGTTTATAATTTAACTGCGCTACTCCCTCTACCTCCGAATGTAGTATTATAGTGGTGCACTCGGCCCGTGCGTACCGGTAGAGCAGTATCCCGGTCCCGTATGTACCCCAATGGCAGACGAAAGGGGCGTATGTGGTTCCGCGAATTCGAAACCATCACCTGATAGCTCCCCTGGCGTCCCCAAGGCCTCCGATGCTTGGGACATCTGCACAGCTGTAGCAAGGAACGAGTGCAGCACCCTGCCGCGACGTTCACCGGCCCCGAAGCCCTCGCATGAATTTCTTGCATCTCGTCCCAAACTCCCCCGGGATGATGGGCTTTGCGACGCGTGGCGTTTCGCTGGTGGTGATTCACGTCCACTCACACTTCTGCAAGCCTCTCCGATAGCCGCAGGAGTGTCGCAAGGAAATGTGTTCGCGACGGTGGCTACACCGCCAGGCGCGCCGCTGACCGACAGATGGGAATTGCCCGACGGCTCGCTACCGGAAGAGGTCGCTGTCCGTTCTCGAGGAGGGTTTTGCTGCAAGAAGTTGGAACTCTCTCCAGTGTTCGCGCATGGGGCTGCGGGCAAGGGGTGCGACAACGGCTTGTGCTGGCGACCAGCCGCACCATCCACGCAGTCATCCGCGCCTGCATCATGATCAGCATCATGATGCGCGCCGCCAGCAGAGCCCGTGCTCGGCAGCATGCCGCTCACCTCCTTGCATCAACGACTGACCGCTGCTGTGGTGGCCAACGGTGGAAGCCACGCTATGCAATGCCTCCCTCTAGAGGCTACGTGTCGATAAGGTAGCACGGCCGCCCTGTCCGTCCTTCACAGCACGCGCACCTCGTGCGCGGCGTGCGGAGAAATGTAGCTAGCTACAGCGCCGGGGTTTCCCCACCCCAGGAGAGCTTTGTGAATAGAACCAAAAAGAGGTTCACCGAGGGAGCGCGCGCACGCGCATCTCCAACCAATGAGGAGACAGTAAATTTAGAAGTAAAGATCCCTTCGCACGGATGGTAAAATGTACTGCAAGAGTCTCTCAGCGAAGTTGTGTTTTTTTAATTTTTTGGAAGAGTATGCACCGGGCGATTCTTGAGCGGTTTGGTTCACTACACTTATTACTCCTATTATGAGTAAAACTCTTACGGAAGGTATGCATTTTTCTGGAAAACACAGAATCAGGTAGAAATTCCCAGGCCAACGGAGAGCAGCTGCGACTTTTGACATCAACCCTGACAGTCGCGAAAAGGAAAAACACTGGTTTTGACTCGACAGACCACCAACTGACGGTTGGTTCCATTCGAACCACCACACACGACAGACATCAACCGCTGCTTATGTCTTCGGATCGGGAGGGGCACACACACACACACCTACCTGCTCTGTTGAGCAGCACCACATGATCAGCACACAACAAGCAGATAGGCAACGCCGGTTATTGTCTACTTTTAATATAAGAGCATGAAGCAGCAGAGATAAAGATACAGCAGTCGCTATCGCTACAACGAGCGACAGCTGATTGATGTAACTGTCGTCAGACTTGTGCGTCCACGGGAGGAAGTAGTGCGTGTGATTGCGAGGGGCACCTCAGGCGGAAGAGAGCCGTTTTTTTTTCTTCTTGTTTGCAAATGATTTGGTGTGCATCTGCTGATGCTGGGGACTTCATTGGTTACCCGCGACGGCGCTGAAGACGCGCATGTCCGCGTACTTCACCCTCGTGCTCTGTGCTAACTCCCCAAGCCTCTTCCTTCAGCCTAGCCTTCATCGTCGACGAGTTTCCAAGGTTGCCTATTCTGCTGAAACTCATGGGCTCCACAAGAAGTCTCTTCGCCCTACTGAGACAGACGAAAGTAAGCCCCGTGCAGGCCTCCTTGGGCCCAGTCTATGACGGCCTTGACTAAAGTCTGCCCCTGTGACTTGTGTGTCGCCTTGGAGCTCGGCGGGCTCGCTCCCAGGATCCATATTGTGGTCGGAGGAGAACACCTTCGGGCTGTTCTTGTCCTTCGCGCCGTGGGCAACTGTATCGACAAAGGGGGGGCGGCAAGTGGTGGGGTAGAAGGGTAGGGTGACCAGATTGACCAAAAACAGCTGTAGCATATGGGGAACAGGGGCATCTCTAAGGACGGACGACGCGAATTCGATCCCCATCGAATGCGTATGACTTTTTTTTTCATTTTTCTTTTCCCGGGTGTGTGTTATCCTCCGTACATATTTCGCTGGATATGCACTCGCACCTGGCCTCTAGTCGATTGTTGTTTCTCCCGCCGGCGGCTCGCAGCGTCTCTTTCACGGTTAGCTGCCAGCTGCTGTGGTGTCTGCTGCTGGCGGCTCGCAGCGTCTCTCTCTCGGTGAGGCACCCGCTGTTCTAGTGTCGGTTGCCCTCGCTGCCGTTTAGTGGCGGCTCTCTACCGGCCTCTGCCGGTACGCCCGCAGCCTGTGTGTATGAGAGAGAGAGCTCACAGCAGCCACACCCTCTATTTGGCTGTCCGCTCTTGTCGCCCGCTGTGCCCGCTGTGGGTGTGTTCTGCAACTCCAATCTGTAGTGTACTCCGAAGAAAGAAAAACGTGCGGTCTGCTGACCCCTCTTTAAAATCAAGTGATGTAGTCTAAGACCTAGATAACGTGCAATTGGTGCAGCGCGCGCGCAATAACACCTGCACAACGAACTCGAACCCAAATCCCAGCCAAACAATTCCACAAATCCAGCGGGCCATACGATTCCGTGGTATGTGCGACTTGAAATCGCGGATTTCCGGCAAATAACAGCGCCCCATAAGGGTTGGTATGTCCTGTCGGCCTCACTATAACGGACATCCCAGGAACTGCAGACCTTCTGTAAGAGTTGGTCTAATGAAGCGCACACAAAAGAACCGGGCATGTATATAAAAAAGCGGTTAAGTAGCTGGGTACACGGCTACCAGTATGTGGCACCGTCAAAAGAGCCTTGCTGACTCAATGTTCGCTTTCACCCTGCGTGTCCCGAAATAGCCCGTGGTGTACCCTGCCTCGGGCTACTTTTCTCCCAAGAATTGTACCCTGGTCTGACTGAAAATGGAATCATTTCATCAGCCATTGCCTCCGCAGGAATTCATTTCTGCTCCAACCATAGGATAAAATGAACTAGTCCCGCTTGACACCAACATGATTGGGTGCGTTGTGTCGCCTCCTCTTGAATGTGTAACATTGTCTCAAAGTTTTGGAGGTGCGTCCAACCAAGATTTGATTTTCGTGGAATGACACTAGTAGGTAGGTTCATGAGCATTTCTCGACGCCCTCCTTTTCTCTTTCGCAATTGATGTATGCATATATGACGCTATGCTTATGCACAATATCTTGGAGGTTAGAGGTATTTGGACCACTTTCGTCCACTCCTGCAGGCTGAATCCGAGTGCCATCAGCGGTTTATGGCGGCTTATCGTGTACCTGGTAACACTTGCACGTAATTCAGCCCAGTTTTGGATAAGTTTGGTAGACTTTAGGATGGTGTCACACCGGCGTGAAAGTTGCCTCGTGAGAGCTGCCAATCCCGCCTGATGCACAACGACACGACCCCAATTCAGATGTGATAGCGCAGCACTCCTTCGGTTCAGAGCGCATTCACCCCTATGGGTCTAGCTCTTTTTTTTTTGCGGGCAGTAAATAAAAGGGAGGAGAGGGTGCGGGGAGAGAGACAGAAGTACAGCAGAAAGAGACGAGTGTACTTCTGTAGACGCAACAGCTATCTCCACCCATAGCCCATTAGGGTTGCCCGCGACAGGACGGTGGGCACAGGCAGGGTCATAGAAGGGTTGATGCGTGGTCGCGGTGCGGCCGGTAGGGCAGGTTAGGCTTGTAGACCTCGAACAAGATCACTCGCCAAGCCGCCTAAACTACTCTATTTTCAGTATATTCAAATGATCAGTGAAAATGATCAGATAGAGGGCTTGTAGACCCATAGCTGGTTCTTGTACTGTACTTCTCTGTCCCCTCCCCAATGTGAGCCCTGCTGGCTCACTACAGCTCCTGTGACTTTCCCACAATTCCCACAAGCACGCAAGCATACCAGCACACACCTACCGCGCCCTCAAGGTCACCACGTAAGTCGTGTCGGCGTCATCGTTCCTCCAACAAAGGCTGCGGACGAGCAGAAATACAGAGGCAGTCAGTCTCCAACGTGGCCGCGTTCTGTATCCAAGAACAAGTTGATCGACGTCGTTTGCTTCATGATGGGGATATGGAGACACTGCGTGATGGAAGCACGACGCAACGCCGCAATCTATGGCATGAGTATTCCGCACAAGTGCTGCTATGGTTCATAATTAACCTGTCTCGAGTCCTCATCGAAGGAGTTGAAGAAGGAAATCCCGGGACTTCCATGGTGTAGACTGAAAGGAGGCAATCTGTGGCGAGCAGGGTGTTGAACCTTAGATTCCCATCCCGACTGTTTGCTCTACCGTCAACGTGCACGATTTCACATAGACATTCAACGCCGGCGTATCCAACAGACGATGCCGAAGGCCGCGCGCCGTGTGTGCACAATTTTGTTGAGCTTGTTTTCTACAAAGCCGATACTGGAATCGTACTGTATATTGTGCGCCAAGATGAAATATTTGAGCAAGCCACGGTCCATACTCGTGGTTATAATATCTGGGAAGTCATGTTTCCTACACATCTGTTCTATACTGAACGAAGAAAATCTCTGCCTCTGTTTTCTTTCTCCGCGAATGGCGCAGGCCCTTTAATCAGGTGATTGAGATTCTGAGTGTCAGTCTTGATCAAGACAACGACAACGACGAGAGCCCCGACTACGACCGGTTGGCGGGTAACCCTCTTCACAACAACATCCAGCGACAGCTGCAAGTGTGCAGCGACGTGGTTGAACGCATCACTGTGGAGCACCATGGTAGTCTGAACAGTTCCGTCCAAGCGATGGGTGGGGTGGCCAGACATTACAATCAGACCCGCGCCAACGTTGGTACCCTCAGAGAGCAACTCCGGGAGTGCAAGCAACTGCTGCAAAGCGGCTCGAGCCAGACCGACGTTCGGGAACTGTGGCAGCGCAAACTTCAGTATTCCCTTGTTCTACGGCTGCTGAACGCTCTTGATATGATCAAGGTACGGAGATGGAACTTCCGTGCTGATCCTAACCCCTGTGCATATTCGCGCTTGCTCCGTGCACTCGATCAGGCTTCTGGTGGCGTGCGATGTGGTATTTCCGGACCTTGTAATGTGTGGTACTTTGAGCGCGTTACCAGCGTGCAGATGCTCCGCGTTCGTTCTCAAAGTGAGGTATGATCGTTTTCGGAAATCTTGTGCGCTGTTACAGTTCGTGCCCCGTGCCCGCGCAAGAACGAGTGCACAACGTGAGATTAATGAGCGCCTCTCTGCCCCCCCCCCATTCGTGCTACTTGCGTGAAAGGATGCTCCTGTCAAGTTCGAGCGCTTGGTTCGCCAAAAGAGGTTTGTCGGCGCTGTTGGTCTGTTGAACGAGTCTCTGTTGAACATTTTCAGCGCCGAGTTGGTCGATGTTCCGGCAGTGGCCAGTGTGCGGGATGAAATGCTTGCGCAAAAGGGAAGGATACTTGATACGTTGGTGGAGGAAATCGCCGACGTGTTGTTCCTCCGAGCTGCAGCTGCTCAAGTAAGTGCGGCGGACAAAGCGCGTGGAGTCGCCAAGAGTAGGAGGAGAAGGGAGCGAGGTGGAGCGAGCGGAGCGTCGATGGAAGATTCCACGGGCAATGCCCTGTCTCGCGGGCAGGGCACCGTCGCTGTAGGGGGTGCTGGGGTCCCATCTGATGCTGCCTCGGAGTCTAGTGCCGGCGGAGGGGATGCTTCAGGAACATTGTGGGCAGGCATCCAAGTGGATGTGACAGATGTGGGAGACCACGAGGAGCAGGCACTTGATGATCCATCGCAGGAGTTGAGCGTGTACCTGCGGCTACTGGTCGAGGCTGTTCGTCGTCTTAGGTGTCTGGACGACGTCGAAAGATATCTACTGGAGAGACTGCCGAATGAGGTGTTGACTCTGAGTGCCACACACATGCGCACGTGCGTGGGAAAGCACGACGAGATCAATGTAGCTTCACGCGGGACGGCTTTCAACAGCAAAAGCAAAAGTGACGGGTTGGGTGCCCGCGGTCAGAATTTGACGCAGTACCTAAGTCTCGTGTTTGACTCGTTCACATCCGTGCTGGCGAACCTGATCCGCCTTGTTCGACTGCTCCATGCCGCCCGACTCCGGGACCTCCGCGAGCACGACTCTGGGGCTCCTGTATTCGAGGCAGATGCATCTTACAAGGATTCGCTTGTAGTGGGAGTATGGCAGCACATCCAGGCGCACCTCGTCGACGTCCTCACGAGACACGTCTCAAGACCAGAAGATGGGGACATGGGCGTAGACACGAACAAGACAGATGCTGGAGGAGCGCAGAACAGCAGGCTCGGTCCTAGCCCGTCGGGCGTCGAACCGACCAACATCCCTTCGTCCGTCCCGTACTTCCGCCCTCTGAGGCGTCCCGAGTCATCCTCTACAGGGTTGGCCAGCACAGCCACGGTGATGGAACTGAATAACGTGAGCGCTGCGGACTACTGCAGCTCCCGTGTGCTGGCGGATCCTTCACCCATGGTCATAATAAGCATATTCCGCCCAACGCTCAAGTTTGTGGAGGCCGAAGAGGTGAGAGTAGGCTATCTCGGTCACTCACTTGCGTTGCCACCAGGTGCACTGCGCTCGTGTACTAGGTAGGCAGCTAGCCCCGTTTCGTGTAACCTCGTTTGAACGCATACCCATTTTGCTGTTGTGCCGGGTGGATACTTTGACCTCGAATTCGATACCTCTGCTACTCGCTTGTGTCCGACGCAGTCTGTCGGGGAACACTATTCCGTCGTGTAACCTCGTTTGAACGCATACCCATTTTGCTGTTGTGCCGGGTGGATACTTTGACCTCGAATTCGATACCTCTGCTACTCGCTTGTGTCCGACGCAGTCTGTCGGGGAACACTATTCCGTCGGCATTGTAGTGGGAGCACGGGGCGTATGTGACAAGAGTGTGCCGCGCGTTAATCGATTCCTCATGTTTTCAGGCAATGATCAACGCAATGAAGAAGGGGGTTTTCGAGTCAGGCCATATCCACCACGAACGAGGCGCTCGCCGAGTATTGCCGGAGGGAGGTGACAGTGATGGAAACAGTCTGTCATCATTCATGCATGCCACGGCTCGCGATAAGTTGTTGCCTCTACTAGGTACAAACTGCCGGACCATGAATGCCAAGGTGACTAGACATGCTGCCGGAGAAGACCGTGCTCAGTGGTTTGTTTATTCGTCGTCCTCGTTATGCTTTTGGTAGCCTCATGAATGAGATGCCCATTCGCGCGGTTCTTGATTTCCGTACTCTTGACTATAGATGCCACACGACCCTGCACCTCGCTATGCATGGGTATGGATATTTCAGCGGTGTGTCAGTTTTTCTGCTCTACGAATGCTTGATCACATTGTGCTGGGTGCGCCGCATGACTTTTGTGACTCAACTGCACTGACACATTCCCGTCTAGCACACAACTTTTTCCTGACGCAGAATGGCGCGGAATTCAGAGGACAGGTCCTTTCACATCCGGTTATCTCCTGGCGAGCATCACAATAGTGTTGGATTTTACGGTATTCCGCGTACTGGGCTACAGAAGTACCTGCTACCGCCCAGGGTATTGTCGTTCAATCAAATATGCACGTGACTTGACGAAACGCGATCGACGGCTGACGAGCCCCGATGGTCGTGCTGGGATTTAATTGGCGTATTGGAGATGCCTCAGAAAAATCCGGACGACGTATCTAGCTTATGTAGTTATATTGCATTGCAGCTGATCTGCCCTGCCCCACCAGCTGGGGTATGTTTATTTCGGTCATGTGTTTGTGGCTCGTCTAGCCCTAGCCAAGGGCACGTAACGCCCAGGACAGACACCTTGTTAGATTCGCTAGGTTTCGTGTTGGAGCTCGACGAAAAGTTTTTGCGTAGCCTTTGGGAAACCGTGAAGACCCTACTCTGTTGCACTTGCTGTATGAGTCGTATATCGACGTTGTTGTCCAACCCCAATACTCGTGTGTTGCAGAATATCTCACGACTATAAGTAGGTTGAAGCGTTACACACTAAAAATAGACTTTTACCCACTCCCTTTCCCTTTGGTCAGCGGGCCTATCAACATCAATGTCACTCCTCCAAGCGTAATGCATGCCCTCTTGCGAGTATTCCTTCGGCGGTTGTGTGTTGGATGTTTTTATCTCTTGTGTTTTATTGAAATCTGAGAGTGCGAGTGCCTCCCTTCAAGCTCTTCTACCAAGTGTTTAGTTTCCATATGTAGAGTGTAGTGGATTTTTTCGACATTTCGTTCACTGCACCTGACTGTTGTCGTGCCATGCTGCAGATGCTAGGAGATCACGACTGGTGCTTCCCGGCATCAATGGCCTCTGGATCACAAGGCGTTGCAAAACTCAGTTCTGCTGACGGCAGCGCTGCATCGCGTGAGCGCGTAGCCGGCAGCGTGGGTGCACTTCGTCCGAGCAGAGGTGCAGAGGACGTTTACGCGCAAGCGCGCACGCTGTTCAGAGCTATGGTACAGATGCCACATTATGCGGAGGAGGTGAGCTCGGGTCTGTGTAGACGCTCACCCTATCGAGATGGGTATGATACACGCCCAAGAATGAGAGTCAAATTGCTCGCTTCAAGTAGCCGTCGATCTGCGACGCCTTCCACAAATCTTGCGCTGTACTGAATGAACCGTGCTGCAGATTGGTGAGATTCTGCGCACAAGCTTGGAGGACTTCTTCGCGCTGGTTCAGAATAAGTTCCAGGATATCATCGTCAACAGGTGAGGGTGAAGGATTGAGATCCTTGGTTTAACCATATTTTTAGTACGCTCAGCAAACCGTACTATCTAGAGAAGATGTCAACACCAATCCGTAAAGGATGTGACTCGTGCGCTCTCAATCGATGTCACTTCCAGCGCATCTCGATCGCGATTGGAGCGTTTCAGCGACAAGCTACGGGATCTGATCCGGAGGGATGCACAATACCTTACGTACAAGACCCTCGTCTATGGTGAGTGCGTATCTGGTCATTCCAATCCGTTTGTTTACCCCGAGCGCCCCCTCAAGTTGTTGGAGGCTGGGATAGCATCCAAGGGTTGCTACGTATTGCAGTCCCTATATGTTGCTGCTTGAGACTGGTGAAGGGTGAACGCCCAGTAGCCTTTGCAGGGCTTTTCGATTAAGCAAACATGTTGGACAAAGCAACAATCGGGGGAGTTGGGTTGGGGTTAGGGTTGAGGATAGGGTCTGCGTACCCCGTCCCTGTTCTATTTCCTCATAAATTGCACTTAATTTCTCGCGAAGGCGGTCCACGGACGCCGAGCTGCAATAAGAGAAGTAACACATTAAATGCAGTTTCACGTTTTTGTTACCAAGTTACCACCACGGACAGGGCGAAGGGTGATCTCGCTGCCAACTTGCCGTTTGACAGCTACGGATGGCGCTGATGGTGAAATCGCGTCTCGGCCAATTGCGGGCGTTCCGGTAGGTGTACAATTCAAATGAGCGAATTCTCAATGTATGACATTCCAACCTTAACGTTTGCTTTGACGAGGAGTCCTCCTTATTCTGTGGAACACTACCAAACAATACAGATTAGGGTTCGCCTTTGTCCCTCACATAATGCGCAGACGTCGTTAACGAGTCTAACGGCAAATGTTGTACAGGTGGATTGCTGCGGTGGGATGAGAGCGAGGTGGACGACGTGCTGTCTTTGAAAGGGCGGCACTCGCTGGGTGGTGGACCTACGAAGGGTGTTGAGCGTGACACTCGGAGGGGGAGAGAAGGGAATCTCGAAGTATCTGGCCAGGAGGAGGCCGACGATATTTTCGAGAGCGAATTCACGATGCTCCAAGACCTGTGGAAGTTTGACAGCGTTCCTTTCTCAGTGACGAAGCAGGTGCGCGCGTCGGAAGCATACGTGGGTCTGAAATTGCGAGTTCATATCGTGTTGGTTGCGAGGTCATGGTTGGCTACGCTTCACCCGAGTCGGAACACATGGGACTTGACACAAGTTGCGATTACGCTGACACGTTTGGTGTTGATGTGGAACTCACATGCAGCTGGTGACTGGTAAGATTTTGCACAACTCAAGGGTATGATAGTGAAGCCTGCTGTTTCAACGTGGCGAAAGTTGTTTCGACCCGTTTTGTGCACCTATTTAGTCTAGCAATCATCACCTCGACTCGCTGTGTAGCTAGGCGATGTCTTGTATAACCAGGCCCCGATCTAAACGATGCGCCCCTGCCTCTCTCGTGTTGCGTCGGACAGAGTCTTCTCTCGTTGCGAAAGCAACAGGCTGTTGCCTGCTTGGCGTTCAGCTGCGATTGGTTATCACACAAGGTTCTCAAGGTTTGTGTCGCGATCAAGCATCAGTCTTCTACTGATGACCCTTCCTCCGGCCTAGGAGAACAACTTGGCTCCCCTTCCAGAACTGTCGATGCTGAGCGCCGTATGTCGAGTACACCAGGGAACGCAACGGCACCAGCGCAAAAACTGCGGCTAATCGGGCGAAAACTGTCACAGCTCGCAGATGACAGCCTCCTCTGTCTTCGCCTCGAGGTGAGAAAATGCCGCCTTTTCCTTGGTGAGGGCTCCACTATCAGTGGGACATCATGTCGACGCGAGTGTACAGAAATACAGGGTCTCGTGTCGCAGCTAGATGCATGAGGTATTTGGTGTCTGAACTTGCTGTCCCGTCTTCACCGCGTATTTTGTCCAGGTGTACATGTTGGTAAGCTTCTACATGCAACAACTCCCATCTATCAATCTGGAGGTGACGAGCGGGCAAGGGTCCACCACAGCGATGAGCCTTGGGAGCGTCGAAGACCAATGCGTGGTGACACTTAATCGGTGTATTCGCGAGGAGCAAGAGGCTCTCAGCCCGTTTGAGCCAAAGGGCAGCATGGCTCTACTCTGTCCTAGAGAGCTTCTTGCTTTCGTACTGGCACCGCTGCCCCGTCTTCTTCCCCGTCTGTTCGTCCGCTCGTTTATTTTCCTCAAGACGAAGACTGTAACAGTTGGCGGGGTCGGGAAGTTGAACAAAATTCTGAACACTCTCGAGCAGACTGTGGGAGATGTCACGGACGACCACAAGACTAGGATTCAAGAAGAGGGTGCGGCAGCTGATGTACCCGGAAGTGGAACCCAAGCGCCGACGGGCGTAGTCGGAGAGAGATTTGGATGGGCCCGTCAATACGTGGCGTTGATGAGCATGACGCAAGGCGAGTTGGAGTCGTTCATCAGGAAAAACCGCACAAAATTCAGCAAGGAAGAATACCGAAGAGTTTGGTCTCTGTCTGGCCCAAATCGACGGACAGAGGACGAGCAAAAATTTGATGTTTGGTGGGTGTCTTGACATGCTGAATTGTCAAAGTGTGTGCGCGCGGGCTGGAGTATTGATACTGTTTTTTGCAAAAAGACTTGCGTTAATTTTTGGGTCTGCTTTCGCTTGAGAATAGTCCTGGATTTTTGCGTCATTTTCCTGCAAGAGAATTGTGCAGCAGCAGCACCACCACCCTGACTGAGAGTGTATCTCAGCATCTGCTTACAGATAAATGAGTGGCTTTTGCTCGGCCTATACTGCGAAGTTTTTTGTCCCTCGTATGTGGTGTGACTTGTGCTGTAATTTTGCGAATGTTTCGGTACCGCACACGTACATTATGGCGCGCTTTGCGAACTCAGCAGCGACAGCAGCTGCGCTTCTCAATCGTGTAGCATCACTTCCCCCTGCTGTAACATTTTATGCCGGAAGGAGTGGGCAATGTCGGGCGTGAGCCGTTTTACTGCTGTGAAGTGTGTGATGACACTAGAAGAGAACCCGCCCGATGTTCCAACGCTAGGAACAGCAAGCAAGTAATTGCTGTTTACATGGTAGCAGTTGTCCACATGTCTTTGCTGGGCATGTTGACAACTGCTGAGGAAACGGTTAACAAGTTAGGTCGTTCTACGTAGTTTCCAGCACTGCAACGCCGAAAAGGTCATTGGAAAGACGCGAGCAGCAGTTGCAACACGTGTGTGTAAACAACGTAAATATGAATCCCAACAAAGCCAAAGTACAAGAGGTTATTTCGCTGAAAGTTTGGGGGGCCATCCTGGTTTCCAAGCGTAGCTTGCCGTCCTAATCTCTGGGTCTCTGTGCCCGCATGACCTGTACGCAATCTCACCAAGTATTTCCTCTTGCAAGAGGATCCTAGGTTCATGTTTCCGGTGCATGAACTAAACGAACCTCCCTAAACTAGTGGCAATTTTGAGCCGAATCCCTACGGCGCGAGCATCTCTCCCGTTGCAAATTTGAGCGTCATTGGTACTTGCCGTGTCGTGTACGGGAGTGTGTGTTCTTAGACCTAACGTCACAAACACGCACGACCGATGCACCTGTGCAAGAAACGTAATCACTTCTCCAGCAACCGCAAAAGCCGTATCAAGTTCAACCTCTCCTGAAGGTCCACCACGAAAAACGTCACGGCTAGCCTTGACACGAAGGTGGGAGCGTCTCCCAGAGAGAAATAGTAACACTCCACCAATCGCGAAGAAAATAATGACGAAGGGATCATTTTGAGCCTGCAAGAGCGAACATTTTCCGAGGCCCTTTATTTAGCGCAAATTCTAGAACTTATATATTCGATATTGACCTCAGGCCACATTTTTTTTACACCAGTTAGGCCGCAGGACTTGGTTGTAGAGTTGGGGAATCTCCGTCTTGTCTAAAAGCAACTTGTTTTTCTTCCGTGTATGAAAGAAGTCGTTTTTCTTAGGTCTCTATCCTCGAGATTGCAGCGGCAGATGTTCGAACGAGGTGGAAGAGGTGTGGCTACTACCCCCGTTCGCCCGTCCTGCAAGTTTGGTACAAAAAGCTTAAGGAAGTTTTTGAGAAACACATCTCTTCTTTTATGACTCAATGGTATAGATTTCTTGGTGCCACAGCGATCCAAAACACCGAATAAAATTTGTCGGACTTCGCCAGCTCATCTTTGCTTTGCATGCTTATGGCGGCCCCAAAATACTCCTCAACGAGTTTTCAGTCGAATCTGCGTGAAGGACGGGGAAACTATACAGTTCGCGAGAACCATTGTGAAAAGGGACGGACCGAGGCATCATCTTCTAGCATGAATGCCGGTCGCCCCGGTGGTGTTGTTGGTATCCCCGAAACCCTCTAGAGGTCAGGTCAGGGGTTCGAATCTAGGCGTAAGCGAGCTTTTCTTGCAAAGTGAGTTTTTCTCTCGCTTCCGCTTCTTGCCTATGAGTGGACAGCGCTGGTTCGTGTGTACACAGAGGGAAGAGAGTGCTGCATTCTTCTTGCATTCAAAATCGAAGGCAAAGTACCGCAGAGGGTGGGGGTGGAGAGGGGCTCTTCTATGTGACCACGGGTTCACGGGTGGCCAACAGACCGGGTTGTAAGGGCACTTTTGCCAACCTGAATGCCTGAATCGACATTTATTTTGGCACGAGTTGCAACCTCCCCACCTTGGGTGATCCTTGCAATGCAACGATGGCCAGGTTGTGCAAGGTATACATTTCTTGGAGGTTGCGCGTTGTTTGCAAGCCGGATAGGGGGCGGTTGCCGATGGTAGTGCAAGGTGTACCCTTTCTTGGTGGTTGGTGCGCGATTACAAGTCGGATCGGAGGCAGGTTGCCGATGGTAGTACAAGGTGTACGATTTCTTGGTGGTTGGTGTGCTGCTAACAATCTGGATGGGGGTCAAGCTGTCGGTGGTGGCGCAAGGTGTACCATTTCTTGTGGTTGGTGCACTGCTTACAAGCTGGACAGCGGGCAGGCTGCCGATGGCAGCGCAAGGTGTACCCTTTCTTGGAGGTTGGCGTGCCATGCACAAGTCGGTTAGGGGGGAGGTTGCCTATGGTTAGCGACAAGGTGTACCCTTTTTTGCAGGTTGGCGCGCTTTGCACAAGCCAGTTGGGGGGCAGGTTGCCGGTAATCGTGCAAGGTGTACCCTCTCTTGCAAGTTGGCGCGTCGCGCTCAAGCCAGTAGGGGGCAGGTTGCGTATTACAATGCGTACCCTCTCATAGAGGTTGCGCAAGATGCGGCCGGTCTACAACAAACAGCAGTGCTCAACACCTTAGTGGCGGGTTCAATTCCCCTGCAGTACGTCTTTTTTTTGTTCATGTTAAATTTGTTTTTTCGCCCCCTGTACAATTTTATCGTCGGTACATTCCCGAGCGAACTCCTGAAACAACGACATCCCGTGCCCATGCATCATACGCATATTGCCAGCTTAGTTTAAATCCATCTCCGCCCGCGGCTTATCATCTCGACCCAGGGTCGTCAACATCCCAAGTTGCACGACATGTAAGCGAGAATCATAAAAGGTACACTTCAAATTAAAACATTACACACATACCCTTTCGAACGTCGTTCTGTGTATTGGATGTCCCCCCACAACAACAGCATGCCCTGGCCTATGACCGTCAGCGACGTCGATCATGGAGACGACCCACAATCCCTGCAATAAACTACCTTTGGTTGTTGTGAGGAAGCACAACTCAGCCGGAGGCAACAGCTACACGTAGCGGCAGCAGTGTTGTCCAAACGCACAGGTAGAAACGACCGTCTCTCCCGACACGAAACACAGAACCCCGCCCCACCCTGGCCGTCCCAAATTATACAGCCAACTCTAGTCAAGAAAAAACGTCACTGCCTGAGATGGAGCCAGCTGCGATAGCGGTGTCCTCCAAAAACCGTGCAGAGACTGCAGAAATAGACCTCTCTACTTTCCCAACACCATCGAAACAACTCCCCCCTCCCCTCCCCCCAAAAAGCTACAATTCGCACGAACAAAAAAGGGCGCGGACGAAGCCAAGAGGTTGCAGCGACAGATTCCAAACGCCCTTGCAGACACAGTAAGAAAACACCTGGCTCTCATCCCGCGCCACGCGCCCTCATGCACCAGCGAGAGCAACAAGCGTATCATAGCACCATATAAAAAAAAGCTGTGAGACATGGCGAGCGGGACATTTCTCCGCCTCCTCCGTCAAAGCTTCCACCCGTTGTGAACGTCATGAGGACCCGAGGAAACGCTTTGAACGATGTTGCAGCGGAGGCCCCGGCGACTAGACCTGGAGGTCACCGATCAATCCAACTCCACCACTACACTCAGCTCGCATCCAGAGCTCACGCATCTTGCCGTGTCTACACCAAAGACTCAGTATTGCCAAAGAGATGCTTTCTACACCGTGTCCTGATGATCTGGGATAACACGGTACAGCCAGTGTGTCATACTGACTGGTGCTGTCACATGTGCATGCCAGCTGTTGTGTATTCGTCCCACACCGCCGTTGGTTTTTCTCCTGGCGTTTGATGGTTGGCGGACCGCATGTCGCTCACAACCATGCTCACATCACGCACACATGCACACTCGTGCGACACTAATATGTGCAAACCATATAGCTTGACTTCCCGTTGCTCTGCACCCTCTCTCCTGACGCCAGCAAAGTTCTTGATCGCTCTGCCCCCCTCCTGACACCGCCATGACATAGCTCAACGGCTGGTTACTACATGCGGGAGGCTGGTTCAGAGGCAGTAGACAGATGGCTCTCCAGGAATCGTACGCCTGTGCTGTTCTATCTTCCGGAAAAAAATCTGACTCTCAATTCCATGAATACTCTGTTCCACGCTACGCACGCACTGTCGACGTACGAAAAGCCGTAGACATTTCGCCAGCCTAAAAACACCGGTCAGGTAATCCTAAGGCATACCCGACTCCGACACCAAGAGTGATCTTCAAGATTAGTCAACATTGATAGAAAATGTACCCCGGCAAAGTAGGTATGCCAAGACCAAGCAGCAACACTCCGAACGTTGGAGTGCACTGTCAACCTTACGAGGGTGAGTGCAAGTTCTTTGAATATGTTTTGAGTAAAAGGCATCCCTATGGAGTGGGGTAAAGATTAGCACCGCGACAAGGAGTGATGCAAGCACATGCAAAGAGCAGAGAGAGGAAAACCGATGGTCTATACTTATATGGATAGACTACATGGAAGAGGTGTTTGCGCCATTTTTGGGAGCTCAGTGAGCTTTTCCTTCTGTAGGAATTTGGCGGCAAGAACAGACTCACGAACAAGTTGGTTGTTTTTCCCATGCAGTCCCTTGAACGAAATCCGACCCTCGCACCTACAGCTCATCATAGTGACGACTCGACGTCTAAACTGACTACACCGACGAACTATTTACCCACGACACCAACCAGTGTCTTGATCATCTGACGTAAAACCAGCCAGCCGTGGTGTTGCATCGCGTTATCCTCTTGCTCACAACAGGTCAAGCAGACGTTGCCTTTTCATTATTTCTGGATGTTTCTTGGTTAGAACCTGGCATGTTTGTCATGTGTGTGTAAAGTATGCATGTGTTTCCCGCGATACCAACGTCGGTCCCAACCTGAGGCTCAGCTGTCTGCATGGTCTGCATTACTCTGCTGACACCACCACGACATGGCTCGATTCGTTCTGGAGCATTTGGGCATTCAGTCCTACCCTCAATTGGGGACGGGCGAGATGAGACGGGAAGCCACAACGTCTCTGCGTGTATCACAGCACATAACAGAAAAATAAAGGAGCATGCGACTTTCACACAGTCAGATTCCTGGATGGAATATGACTTGAAACTGTTTCCTGTGGACAGGGGTTTCTTCTCCGACTGTAGTTTCTGTCGCGAAGGCAAATCGTCCGTTGTGTTGTTCCCGTTTTCTACGAAGTAATGTGTAACTTGCTCTCAGTCTCGTTTCTGGCGTTTCGACGTAGCCAATCACCTTTTGGTATGTGTTGACCTGCTGTTGTTCAACTTCAGAAAAA